CTACATGTGTATTTACCATGGCATTTAACATTATTTTCCAGTCACTGTCTCATGATTTGATTTCCTAAGACTGTCTGCCCTCCATTGTGTTATGCCAGATATCTGTGTTTTCTTTAGTTGTGTTATATACAGTATTACAAATAGCAAAGAAGAAAGTAGATAGCTTAAAACAGCTAGTTTTATATAAATGGCCTAATGCATGCTTTTTACTAATGCCTTTCCCTGTCTTCCACTTTCTCCTTTTCAGATGTGTGGTCAGCAGGCTGTGTATTGGCTGAACTGTTACTAGGACAACCAATCTTTCCAGGTGACAGTGGTGTGGATCAGTTGGTGGAAATAATCAAGGTATGGAATTTTAAGTTATTTTTTTACTACATTGTTCTTTGGGAATTAAAACATGAAAACATGCCTTGTTATAACCTTGTTGACATATATATTCTGTCACCATTGTACAGGGTGTTGCATGTAAACTGTGTTTGAAAACACTTATTGAGCTTTTTTGAGAACTTTATTATCTTTATGCCCCTCTTGCAGTCATGCATAGTGATATATAATATTTTAATTATATAGAGGGTTTTTTCCCCCCTCTTGAAGGATTGCACTTTCAGTGTGCTCAGAACACTGAGCCAATGTTTATTAATGTATGATTCTCATTCTTGAAGAATCTGGCACCTTTTCCTTTGTTGTGTGCAATTAGTACTTGGCTTTGAAAACAGTGTTATTAAATTTCCTTGAACCAGATTCTTCACGTATGTAACATTCTTCTCTTCTTCCTTCCCTCTAGTGATTTGAGGTGAAGGGTGAGAAAGGGCACTCCTTTTTGCAGATAAAGAATCAGGAAATGTAGGGCAAAGATACCTTTCACCTGAAGAGTCTTGTTTTTCAATTGAAAAAGACCTAATGTTTCAGAATACGTAACATTTATGTATAATTTATTTTCAAATACATCTTGATTGATTTTGTTTGGTAAGCTGTGTATATTCTGTGATTCTCAAATTAGAGACATGGAAGGATAATTCATATCTTAGAAGATTGGTGTTTGACTTCCAGTACCCTTGTTGACCTTGCCTCCTTCAACTTCTGCAATGAAGGAAGCAAGATTTCTAGACAGAGCAGTATATTTTACCTCTGAATCTACAGTATGCACTTAGTAAGATGGAAGTATTACAGAGGTTGTGTACACACACTGTTCAGCTCTATTGATTTCATCACCACAAAGGAACTGTGTCGCGATCTGCAACCTATTGTATTTCCGTTTTGGAATCATTTTAACTTACTGGGACCTGCCGAGAGGTCCACACGCAGCGCTCGCCTCTCACAGAGGAGCAGTAAGCTTTGGCACTGACTTTTTGGGTGAGACACTTGTCCAATGCTCACTAGTGTTTCTAGTAACAGCAGCCAACCCCCAATTAGAATTTACGAACACATGGGTTATTGAGGGGAAAAATAAAAGAATTTGGGGCAGGAGCCTCAATGAGGGTAATCAAAAGACATAGGAGCTGTGAAATGTCTTTAAAACACCAAATACCAAACACTTACATGTGCCCCAATACTTATATATAGATACATCTTATTATATACACACCCAGACTAACTATTATTATCTAAGAGGGGTAGAAGAAGGAGGGATATGCCTGACGCCTGTGCCGTATAGGGTGGCGGTTTGTGTGGAGGTAAAAAGCAGGAACACCTTAGGGAGAGAAATGATACCCAAAATACAATCCCTTGCTTTATTCCTGAGATGGTCGAGGTATTTCTGTATTAGGTGCAGATGACTTCTCCTGCAACCCAGTCTTAGAACCCACGGGTGGCGGGAAGAAGTCTCACAGCAGGTGGTTGGCAGCAGGCAGGACCGCAGGCAGGCACACAAGGACCCCCGAAGGAGAGGCCAACCCCCAAAACCAAGCAGCAGCAGCTTCAGCATCCATCCAAAAAGCACGCACAAGCAGCAAGCAAGCAAGCCTCTTTATTGCTCTCCTTTGTTCCCGATTGGCCAGTCTCTTGTTTCTGGGCTTCTCAGCCAATCAGACAGGGACTTTTTCCCCCTCCACTGCAGACTTGCGATTTGTAACATTTTTGCTGTTTCCTGCCACTGCTCCTCTCTAGCAGCAGCTACCCCCTCATGGCATCCGAGTTGTTGTTTCCTGGCAGAGGAGGCAGGCAGGAGAGGGTTTAGAGTGCCACGTGGAGCAGCCATCTTTAAGCCAGTTATGACTGCTGACCTAAAGGGCATGTTATGTTCGTGTGAGGAAAGGTCTGGTCCTTCACAGACTGTATTAAGAGAATTTCCTCCTTGTTTTTACCACTGAACTGCTAGCTTAATATATGTGCGTTTCTGTGGCATGCGTGTGACAATCCCCTCAAAAACAAAATGTGTGTGTAGAAGAGTCCATGTTATTCCCTAGAAGAGCTGCTGGTGACTTTGTGCCTGTCCTAGCAGAGTGTATGACTCCAGCCAGCACCAAATTGTCACTCTCCTCCATGGAGGACATGGGCTGGTGAGGCTCAGTGTTTCTGTGGCCAGTTCTGTGGTCTCAGTGGGGTGTGGCGTGACCTTTGTAGGTTCTTGCCACATCTCCTCCAGCCTTTGACCTTGTAAACCTACCTTCTATTACAGTAGGTTTCTTTCTGTTCTGCTGGAAATCCTGCAGTCAGCCCCTCTCCTCTGCAGTCTCCATGTCTTGCACTTCTCATATTACTTTCTTGGTTTCTCTTTATTGCCTTTCTGCCCAGTGTATTTGAAGCTCAGCATGTTCAAGTTGGGTCAGTTTATGTAAGAAACACCAGTGGAAAAGCAGAGTTGCTGATGATGGCACAAGTTTTATTCTTTTAAGAAGTGTCTTGGAGCGGTGTGCTGTTTCCTGCT